AATAAACACAGACCAAGACTCCCAACCAATCAGGATGAAGAAAAAACCATTCTGGCACAGCAATAGGCTGCCCCAAATTTAAATCTGAAACCACTGTAAAAGTCTGACCCACAGACGGACACAATACAGAAGCCTGATGATGGCAGATGAGATTCTGCTGAAACGTTGCTACAACTTTAAAAGAACTACAATGACGTGGGAAAATACCCGAACCAAGCCGAACACCATACATGTAAGTACCCGCGAAAACTTAAGAAAACACATATATATATATATATATATATATATATATATATATACACACACACATACATATACATACATACATACACACACAATATATACATACATACATACATATATATATATATACACACACACATATACATGCCTATATCTACATGTAAAACTGTGTATATGGGAAACAGTACCTAAGGGTCCCCAACAAGGGAAACCCCCAAGCACTCCAAGCAAGAAATATTCTGGATCCCTGGTCCCCAACAAGGGAAACCAGCTATACAGGGCCTGGATGGATCCTTTCCTGTCAAAAACGTCCCGCTGTTTGAAATGGCACTTGCGGCTTCACTCCAATGTAATGATCCAAAAGCAATTGCAAAAAGAAAAAAATTCCTGTTTACGGACTAGCCTGCTTATCCAATGCCAGCAAGATAAAAGAGAAATAATGCCAGGGAAGTGGAGTGGGAAGGTACCTGCCCCAGTCCCCAAGAAGGGAAACCAGTGGGGAATGGCACCTGTGATATTTAGGCACAAACTTGAAGCCAGCCATTGAAAATGATGGGAAGGCAGAATCTCCGATGTTAATTGCCTGAGCAGTTTAACGAGCCGCTGCTGCTGACTCTCTAAATTGTCAGATAAATGATCCTGTCAGTCGAAATGGCAAGGAGAAGTGAGCCACGGCTGTGAGCGCTCCACCAAGATCACAGAGATAAGACGATCGGGGGATTAGATAAGCTAATTGCCTGAAGCGGCTGTCTCAGGCTGCCTGCGGAGTGGCAGGCTCCGCCAGCCACAAAGAACTGCTCTCAAACTGATCGGGGGGATGTCCTAATAGAGCCACAAGCCTTGAAATCGCCAAATTAATTGGGGAAAATTTTACAAGCCGAATTAACCCAAGAGCAAACCTGAATTTTGACTAGCTGAATCAGAAAACCGTTCCAGTCAGGGAGTGCACAACCTGTTACCCGAAGGCTGAGCTAAAACTGGGGGACGCTGGGGAGGTGTCCTGTGGAGGAGGAGGAGCGTCCTGGAGTTTTAAGCCCAGCCTTTCCAGAAGAGACTGAAGCACTTCCACTTCTGGATGCTCTGAACAGCTCATGGGAGAAATAGATTTTCATCAAAGATTACATGTTTTATGATAATATAGCAAAATCACAATCCTATACAAGTACATTAAATAATAATGGGCACACTACTAAATCCAAATTTAATTCCCTAATGCAGAACAGCATTTAAATCAGTTGGATAAAATAAATAAAATATC